TTTTTTTTTTTTTTTTGGAAGAAATTGATCTGCTTGTCCTAAAATTAATACAGAAATGTAAGGGACCCATAACATCTAAAACAATGTAAGAAAAGAAGAACAAAGAGGACTTATGCTAATGGGATTCAATATTTACTACAAAGCTTCCCTAATCAAGACAGTACGATACTGACATAAGGACAGACATATAGATCAATGGAACAGAATGGAAAGTCCAGAAAAAGGTCCTTAAATTTACGGTCAATGGATTTTCAACAAGGGTGCCAACACCATTCAGTGGGCAAAGAGTAATCTTTTCAACAAATGGTGCTGGGACTACTAGATATACAGATGCAAAAGAATGAAGTTGGACCCCCGACCTTACCACCATACACAAAACCTAACTCAAATGGATCATAGACCTAAATGTAAGTGATAAGAGTATCATTGTAACTTTGGGTTGGTCAATGGTTTCTTAGCTATGACACCAAAGCACAGGCAACAACAATAAAAATAGGTGAACTGAACTATATAAAAATGTAAAACTTACATGTTACAAACAATACCATCAAGAAAAATTAAAAGGGAGAAACATTTGCACATCATATTTCTGTTAAGGGACTTGTATCCAGAATATACAAAGAACTATTAAAACTTAACAATATAATGGCAACCCAAAAAATGGGCAAAGGGTTTGAATAGACATGTCTCCCAAGAAGATACACAAATATAAGTCAGAACTACAATGAGACACCATACCCACTAGGATGGCGGTAACCAGAAAGTCAAATAATAAATGCTGATGAGGATGTGGATAAGAAGGAACTCTCTCATACACTGCTGGTGGGAATGTAAAATGACATTGCCACTTTGGAAAACAGTCTGCAAGTTTCTCAAATGACTAAATAGTGAGGTACACCCAACAATTTCACTCCTATGTGTATACTCAAGAAATGGAAACATGTCTGTGCAAACACTTGTACACAGATGTTTACAGAAGCATCATTTGTAATAGCCAAAAGGAGGAAACAACCCAATTATCTATCAACTAATAACTGGATAACAAAATGTGGTATTATCCATACAGGGGAACATTATTCAGCCATCCAAATAAGGTGCTACACATGCTACAACAGGAATCACCCGTGAAAACACTGCACTGAGTGAATGAGGCAGATACAAAAGAACACATGTTGTATGATTCCACTTACGTGAAATGTCCAGAACAGGCACATCCATAAGACAGTAGACAGACGTTGCCAGGGGCTGGTGGGTAGAAGGGAATAGGGAGTGACTACTGTTACGACAGGGTTTCTTTTGGGGGTGATGGTGACACAACTCTATAATACTAAGGTCCACTGAATTGTATACTTTTGAAGTGTGAAATTTATTATGTGAATCTTGATAAAGTGTTATTTTAAAAAATAAAGAATTGCTTTAAAAACCAACAGACCCAACGTTGTGCTTTAAAGTGTGGGTGCATTGGTTCATACAAACATTCTGAGCATAGTCAGCAGTGTGGGCAGACTGTTAAGGCTGTCTGCTGCTATTACAGTTTGTAAAATCACAAGTATTGGAAGAGCTTAAAATATTTTAAACTCAATTTTGCTAATGTTCAATGTGTACCTCAGGCTTGTTCTTAAGCTGTATCACTGTCCTCCATAATTAAAATGACAACACTGAACCCAAACCACTAAGCTGGTAATGATGTTACAGAAAGCTGGGCACTTGTCCCTGAGGCTGCATCAGAAGAATGGGAACAAGAGGACAAGTGGTTGAGGAAAAGGAAAGAGGAGTTTATTAATTTGCAGGCAAATGATGGAGACTCCCATCTTAAAATGCCATCGTCCTCCTCATAAGCACACATACAGAACTTTTAAAGGGAAGGTTTTCAGCCTCATGGCATTGTTGTTTAACTGCAGTTGAATCCTGTCTTGGGGAAGACAATCTCTGGTGACCTCCACCAGGACAATCCTGTTGAGCTATCTCCTATGGTACAGAGAAGGAAGGACACTCCCCTACCCCTCCCCGACCACTGGCCTGAGGCAGGAATGCAGGTTTTAATTCCCAAAAAGACTGGAGGAAGTTTTAAAAAAACAGAAAACATTTTTACCCTTTTTCCTGTTTCCTTTGTTACAGTGAGAGCCCTAGACAGAGGGGCAGTTAGAGATTTCCTAGACCCTCTCTTGTAAAGCAACTGTCAAGCATACTTGGGAATTTATTACTTCTTTTAAAGTTTCTCTAGGGAGACACAAGACAATCTCATAGGCAAAGAGAGAGGCTTCAGGTGACACACAACGTGATATAATCCCCTCCTCAGCCATCTTTGTTCCAGGCTGAGTCCCTGCCCCTGTCACTTCCTGGCATCACCTGCCTAAGGCCCGAAGTTCTGGGTATCTCCTGGGCTGCGCCATGCATCACCACAACAGTGATGGAAATCGCTGCTTGTGTGGCCCAAGGACCGCCTCAGCCAGCTGGAGAGAAGTGCTTGGTTCCTGCTGTGAGCTGGTGCAGCTCAGGCAGCTCCTGGGAATGGAGAGGACGCTGCCTAGACTTTGGAGGGAGATTTGAATATTGTATTCCCTCAGGGGACATTTTAATTTACCACAAGTTCTTTTGAGAAAGTTAACTAGTATCTGAAGCTTTCTGTGAGATTCAATTTCCCTCTGCTCCTAAGATGACGAAAATAGTAAAGTATTGAATATATGAAATAGTCAAGTAATTTCACATTTCTTAAAACTTTCCTGTACACAGTGCATGACCACATGACTGTGTGTGCATCTGATCACTGCCACCCAGAGGAGTCACTGCACAGGCCCTGGGAGGGGTGGGGAGCTCACGAGACAGGGAAGGGAGACCTGAGAATGTGCTTCCGTCTGGTGGGTCTAGAAAAAGGATCAGGAGGAGTCTGACATTTTGGAAAGCATTTGGAAAGGAGGTGCTCCAGTATTACTTTAAAGTCTTGTTCCTCCTTGAGGGACTCCTATCCTGACCAACAGTTTCTAAACAGCTATGTATTTATACTGCCCCCCACCAAAAAGTTTTGTTTGTTTAATAAAGAATAGCCACTGTTTGAATGACTTAGCAAGATAAGGCAAAGACATGCAGTATTCACAATACAGAGTAAGAACATATTTATTCAAATGTGTCAGAAGTCCAGGATTATGTGGCTTCACCATTCAGGGGACACTTTATAACTTCTCCCATTTTCTTTTCAGAACATAAACTGGGGGGGTTCAAAGACCCAGATGAAAAAACACTTTTAATGTAAAACCATTTCTAGTGATTTCCAATCTGTATATAATACTTTACAGATTCAACTGAATTTTTAAAATTAACTTCCACATTTACTTGCCTAAAGGTAACTTTTAAAAGGGGAAAACATACAGCACTAAGTGCTGTCCAGATGGTAACGTCAGCATGAGCTGGGGACATGAGACCCACCCATGCATTCAACAGACTTCGGGATGGGTGGCCCACAGTTCAAGACACATAGAATATGACAAAATAGTGAAATCACAGCTTCAGATGTCATTCAAGCTATCTATATATAAAATACACAGTATAAAAAATTTGCTAAAATAATTTGGAACATTTCACAAACGCACATAAGACACTTGTCCCAACTACCTATGAGTGTAAACCGAGCTGAGAATGGCAATACAGGTGCGGGAGATACCACAGCCCGAAGCTGCTCCCCTAGCCCTGCCCTATCCCTCTCCATGGTCAAGTGATTCAACATTGATTACGCTGAGCCCAAAATGTGAGTTCCCCAAGTCCACAGGTGTTAAAGGCAAGGTCACTTCTAAACACACAACAAAATTACCTTGAACCTGAGAATGTTAGAAATTAAAAGCACAACATGGAAACAAAAGCAGCCTCTGGCTGCCTGCAGCCCATACTGACACTTGACCACATGAAGACAGAGGTCAGCTGCTCAGGTCGGGCATTTTCATGCATCTTTGTTTTAAAGAGTAATTATGCAAGGAGGCCCTTTGGTGGCAAGGACTGCTCATGCTCAACCTCTCTCCTTCCAGACTCCCCTGTCTCTTCCCCCTCTGCTGACTCCCAGGAGTTGGTGACAGTGAGGGGCCCCGGTGCACTCTCAGCCAGATGGGGAGGCTGGACCAAAGGGGGAGGAGGAAGAATTCTCAGGGAGATACCAAAAGGGCTGAGCTAGACTAAGCTAGCCAAAGCAAAAGAGGGTTTTCTAGAATCAGGAAAAGGAATTAGATGTTCAACCCCAAAAGAGGCACTGTGCCTTTTCTGTGCAGCAGCAGAAACCGTTTAATTCTAAACCAAGCTACAGGCAAAGTTCCTGGGAGCACACCTTGTGCCAAGCTATAGCTAAATTTATTTTGGTGGAGAGAGAAAAAAAATAGGCTTGGTCCAAAATAGTGGACCTGATATATCAAGAATTTCCCTTTCCTTTTTAACCCCAAACATTTGTTCAATTTAGTATTCTAATGAATAAGAATTTAGTTTAAATGATTTTTTCTAATACTGAGGTTTCCCTCACTCAGAATGCAGAGTCTGGACAAAGCCCAGCAGCCTGCGGGGCCACTCTTGGTAGGCTGGGTTTGGTTTTGACTGGAGGCACCAAAAGTTCTGTAGCATGGAAGCCTCTCTCTCCTTCAGCTCTGAAGACTGGAGAGAGCGCAACCGCGCGGACTTCTCTTCTTTTGTGGGAAAAAGGTATATTTTGTAGGGTTAAACTCTTCCCAAATGCGCTCAAACTCTTCCAGAAAAAGCCTCACGTACTCCTCGTCCTCCATGATCAGGACATTCTCCCTGTTGTTCTGGATGGCCTGTGTGGTCCAGTTGAGCGAGCCAGTGATAAGCACCTTCTTGTCCACGATGGCAAACTTGTGATGCATATAGCCCAGGTCCTGGTCGTGTCGCACCTGGATACCTGCAGAAAAGGCAGAGGATAACTTCATTCTAGTACATCCGCTCCGCGACTGTGCAGTTTCCAGTTTGGTGGTGCTGGGTTCCCAGGAGGGACTCTGGAGAATTGAGAGGCCAGAGCGCGTGCCTCCAGGGAACCGGGTGGGACAACAACAGGCACCATGGGGTCACCTGCTCCTCACCCTCCAGCAGATTCCATCTCTCAGCAACACTTGATTTCCTCTGGGGAACAACCCACCCATCAGCCCTGAGGTCTGGGTGAGGGCCACGCCATCATTAGCCCCATCAGAGGTGACCAGAGCAAAGACGGCGCATGGGGTCACTCTCACAGCTCCCGGGAGCTGGGCCTGCCTGCTGGCACAACCTCGTAACAGTCCCAGCGCGCAGTGGCTTTTCTGGCTGGTGAGGCAAGAAGGACCCTAACTAACGCAACAACACGTTTTCCTCTTCCACACCACCCTGCTTCCTTCACCAAAGAACCAGTAATGGCTGCGTCCCTCTCACTTCACAGTCTCCAAGCTCCTGCAGGGCAGGGCCTGTCTGCCTTGTTCCGACTGTCCCAGCCCACAGAATGGCGCCTGCCTCCATCACCATCTGCCCAAAGAATGGACTGTCAGAAATGTGGCTTAAGAGTATAAAATGTGCTTCACTGGAAGAGAGTTGCCAGATCTATGAAATAAAAATACATTACGTCCAAATTAAATTGGCATTTCAGACAAACAAGGAATAACTTTTGAAGGGAACTATGTCCCTTGGAGAATCGGGGACACACACTACACATCATTTGTCTCTGTGAAGTTCACATGTAATGACACACCTGTACTTTGGCAGCCCTGCCCTGGAAAGTAGTGACTCCCTTATCACGGGGACCGACACTTCTCACACCCTGTGGCCAGCCCACCAGCACATCCTGCTGGCTCTGCCTTCCAAATACACCTAAAATCCGACCATTTCAGACCACCTCTGCGGCCCAGCGCACCGCCCGCCTGGCAGGACGAAGCTCGGATGCATCCGCCCCACCAGCCCTCCTCTCTCAGGGCTTTCCGCCGCCAGCCAAGGAGGACGTCTTGCTGCTCAGGGCATCTGTCCCTGCTGTTTCAGCCACTCGGATGTCTCGACCTTCCCAGAGCCCACTCTCAATCGGCAAGGTCTCTGCCCTGTCCCATGTGTCACTGCCCTGGGCAGTTGTCCCGGCACAACTCACTTCATCCCACACCCTAGTCCCTTGCCCTGCTTTTTTACTAAGTATTCCTGAACCTTCTTAGTGCCCTAAATCAAATATCCACGATTTAGTCGGCTTCCTCGCTGAGCCTGGCCTTGTGCACTAGGTGTCCCCAAGCACCTGGAACTGATTCTAACAGACACTGGCACACGGATACCATCACCTGACAGACACGCTGCTGACAGCCTCAAGGCCAGCGGATAAGGCAGGGAGGCCGCCAGAGGGGAGCCGAGCCTTAGATGGGGGCTTGATCTGGGGGGCCCTATAAGATTGTTCCCAAATCCGAGCTTCCACGATTCCCTCAACGCTTACCAAATAAAACAGAACTGTCCGGACCTAGAGGTACCCACGCTTCTCCCACTGAAATCACGAATGCACGCAAGGCAATTCTTGAGGCTGCCAACAAGGGCGGAACGTGCCTCGTCTGCTGCGGGCACAGACCAGGGCGGCCCCGCCGCCTCCACGAAGGCTGCTCCGCTTCCCAGAAAACAGAGTGGCGGGGGAGACGCGCCCAGCCTGGCCGGTTCCCAGGGCTGCACGTGTTTCTCCATCACTGTAGCCACCAAAATTACCGGGTCAAACAGGTGCCCGCGCCCCGCCACTCCCCGCGCCGCTCGCCATCTTCCGCGGCCAGGGAAGCGCGAACTGCTCGCCAACCCACAATTCTGGCTCCACTCTGCAGTAGCTGTTTCCACGCGTGTCAGAGGCAAGAACCTCCCTCACCAGGCAGGCGCGCTGTTCCCAGCCCTCAGGCTCCACACAGGAGCAGAGTCTCGGGCAACTGGCTTCCCTGCCGCAGGACCCTGGTCACCAGAGCGCTGGCCCCAGGGTGGCACACGTCGTTTTTAAGCTTGGCCCTGTCAGTCTGAGCCTCAGGCTGCAACAGTGAAAAACTCTGCCGGCCGGGCTGCCCAGGCGCACGCCGACCCAACGCCGGGCACCAGAAGAGGTGGGAAGAAATGCGGGGTGTCCAGGGACAGGCCACGCGTCCTTGGGACTCCCCCAGACCGTCTCCCCGCTGGGAGCACGCGCGCAGAGGGTCGGCCCCCTGGCGTCGGCCTGGCCTGACGCGGGGGCTCCGCCTTCTCTGCACAAACCCCCGGCCTCACAAGGCCACGAGGCGAATTAGAGGGTCTCGGCCTGTCCCCAGACGCTCCCCTGGGGGCGGTCGCGCCAGGCCCACCTGCCTTCCGCAGCAGGCCGATCTGCGAGCCGTTGAGGGCCATGTAGTCGCAGTCGGTGACGGCCCGCACGCGCACCCCGCGCTGGTGCAGCAGCTGCACGGCGCGGCCCAGCTGCGGGCTGGAGAAGGCGAACAGGCAGAGCTCGAGGCTGGCCCGGGCGGCCAGCAGGGCGCGCAGCAGGCGGCTCAGCGAGCTCTCGCAGTGCGGCAGGCTGCACTGGCAGGCCGCGGGGGACCCGGCCGGCGCGCCCGGAGCCCGCAGCAGCGCCTCGGTGCAGGTCACCCGCGATGGGAAGAAGAGCACCTCGCGCCGCGGCCGCCGCCGCCCGGCCCGCAGCCAACGCAGCACCCAGGGCAGCGCCTCTAGGGCCAGTGCGAGACCTACGACCGCGGCTGCCGCCGACCCCAACCGCCGCATGTCGCCTCCGGGGTGGCCCAAGATACGCCCGGTCCCAGCGCGCCTAGGGGCCCGCCCCGCTACGGCCACGTGCCCGGCCGCGCCCCGCCCCCTGCGGCCACGTGCCCCGCCCCCCGCGGCCACGTGCCCGGCCGCGCCCCGCCCCCCCGCGGCCACGTGACCCGCCGCGCCCCGCCCCCCGAGGCCACTGCCTGCTCGCCCGGGGCATTCTGCACCCAGGCCGCAAACCGCCTGCGGCCCCAGAGGCCTGAAGCAGCGCTGGCTTTCCTTGCTTCAAGCTTCGGGAAAGCTGCTTGGGGACCTCTTAGGTCACGGTCGTCGGGGAGCAGCTAGGCAGATCCGGAAGGACACGGACTGTCGAGGAATCTGCACATAGCCAGCGGCAGGATGAGAAGCCCGCGCGCTGGAGGCGGAGGCCCGGGTGGTGCTTACTCCACCCCCAGCATCTTGCCCTTCTGGGCAGGAGCTGGTTGGCGGGCGGAGTGTGACGGAGAGGCCCCTGGGCCTGTCTCCGCAGGCGCCGGGCTGGTGCGACAGGGACACTCCAAGCAGTGGACTGGATCCTGGAACAGAAGGAAGGCGTTAATGAGAAAATGGTGAAATCCATATAAAGTCTGGAGCTTAATAGTAATGTACCAATATCAGGGTCTTAGGTTTGACAGACGTGTGACAGTAATGTAAGATGCTAACAGTAAGGGAAACTGGTGAGACAAATGGGAACTCTCTGTTCTATCTTTGAAACTTTTCTGTAAAATCTACAATTATTCCAAATTAAGTTTATTAAAATATTAAACATGCACCCCGTATGATCCAGGCATCCCACTCCCTAAAGAAGTGAAAGCATACGTCCGCACAAATACTTGTACACACGTTCATAGTAGGTGTGTCATAGCCCAAACCTAGAAACAACACCATGTCCATGCACAGGTAAATAAATTTTTGGAGATCTATATAATGCAATGCTATTTAGCAATAAAAAGGAATAAAGTACTGGTATACACTACAACATGGATGGATTTCAATTATGCCAGACAAAAAGAGTACGTATGTATGATTCTAGCTATACGAGATTCTAGAGAATGCAAACCGTAGTGACGGAAAGCAGACCAATGGTGTCCCAGCCGGGGATGGCAAAAGGACATGAAGTGAAATGCTGGATGTTTATTAGCGTGACTGTGGTGATGGTTTCACGTGTATACACACGCGTAAAATTGTATGGATTGAATAAGTATAATTTATTGCATATCAATTATACTCCAATAAAATCAAGGACAAAGAAATAGAGCTCTCGCGTTTAAGCCCGGCTTCCCTACTTTGTAGTGGTCTAGGACAAGTCAGTTCATTTCTTTGAGCTTTGCTTTTCTCATCTAAAATGACAAAGAATGAGAGGAAGGACTTCCAATTATGGCAGTATGAAGAAGCAGTCAATGCCCCTCTGCAAAAAAGCAAACATAAAACTGGGAAAAATCGTCAAAAACAACCATTTCAGGGCAATGTAAATCTACCAAAGGCAGACAACAAAATGAGAAGCATTATTTTCGAAAAACTGCTGGAGCTTAGGATGAAGCATCAGGAATCTGCAGCCTGACGGAATGAACCTGCTCCGAGCCCTCCAGGCAAAAGTGGTTATTTTACCAGTGTGGCTGGCTGCAAAAGCCTACTGTCTCAGGTTTTTTTTTTAGCTTATTTGGAAATAACCCAGACATTTAATGAACATCTATTATTTAACATAACTTTGAGTTTCAAATTACATGAAAAGTTCATTTATAGACATTAATCCCATTTACATTTACCTGATTAATTTATTTTTAACAATTTACCTAGATTATTTATGAAAATAGATATTAGACAAAGTTAGAACCCTTTCAAATAATTTCCCTGCCAACCGTTTTTATAGCCTGTGAACAGGTGTTCACCTAAGTAGGAAACTTAAAGCCAAATACACACACACACACACACACACACACACACACACACACACATATTGCTGATAACTCACAAAATACAGCTGTTTTCATTTAACCAACAATATTAAATTAGTCTTACTTATCCAAAAATTACACAAAGATCGTTCTGTTTTAAGTTGGGTTTATAGTTTTATAATCTTTGTGTCAAACTTGTACATATTAAGACGTCTAGCGGAGACAAATAAAACTGACTAGTAAACCCAGGCAACAATGTATGCTGACAATTTTGAAGACATTTCTATTTTTCTTTTACCAATAATTTTTAAATGAGCTTATTTATTAAAGATTTACTTGAGTCACATAAAAGGCATTTGGGTTAATATTGATATATATTTCATATTTTATATAAGCACTCATTTATCTAATCCAATCTGAATACAATTCCTTAAGGGACTTCTGGTCAACCATGCCAGATTTTTACCATGTAGATACAGCATACAATATAACACATATACGTATACATAGATACAGTTAAACAAATACACAGACACACACACACATACACACACACAAAGATCTTATAGCTTTCATTGTAGAATTTTGGTCATGAGATAGTAATACAAACTCACCAGTTCATAAAAGACAGTTGGATCCAAATTATATTTCTGACAAAATTGGGACCTGTTCACATTTAACTTTATTTGCCCTGATAGGTAATCTAGTGAAGGCTGTGGATCAGACATTTGATTAAAGCATTTTCCATGGCAGTTTAAAGAAAAAAACTCTTTCACCCCCTTTCTCCCCCTTTTTTCCATTTCAAATTATATTAGGGTTAAATTTTCAATGTTTATATTTTAGCAAGGACTGACAGAATTGTATTTTAAAAATCCCAAATCTTCAAGTAGCCTTGAATCTATCTTTTGTTTGCCAGTCTCATTTGCTTACCTAGTCAAATGCAGGCAGGAAAGTATTTTAGCAGGTTTTTTTTTTTTCTTCCCAGCTTTTTCTTTTTGGCCCCTATGTGATAGCAAAGCAAAACTTTCATGTTGGACAAATATATACAGATTATATAATATAATATATTATTATTCTGAGCTCAAGATTTTGACCTGTTTGATCTAAGAGCCTAACTTTTATGAATATTTGTCTTGTTCCTCTTCTTTTAGACTATTATTTTTCAATTAACTATTCCATCACCCTAAGTGATTTGTTAGTCAAGCAAACCTAAATTGACATTTCCAAAAATGTCTATGTTGTTGCTTACCATGGAGTTGTTGTAATTTGTAAAGCCATTAATGTGAAAGCCCTTTAAGACTTTTTTTTTTCCCCTAATCTTGGCTGGGATGCCATAAGCAGTGAGTTTTATATCAACGCCAGTATAAAAGTCAGCAAATTCAAAGTAGGCAGAAAAGACAGAGAGAGAGACAGAGAGAGAGAGAACTTAGAAGGCTCTACATGTTAACTCTATAGCTTCGGGGTTATTTATCTTTTTTCCCCAGAAAGTTTGAGCTCTGAATTTTTCTTGATGTCGTTGCCTATCAGTTTAAAAAGATGCGTGATATGGGCTATAACATGTAGACAGTTGTACTTCCAGAAAACCTGGCATGCCTTCATGTTTGAGAATCCCATTCCATGTCTTATTAATCTCTCAAGAGCAAAGAAAGTCTTATTTATCCTGTCAGGAATTTAGATTGATGTTTTAGATGGTGGTGACCACTCTAATGCGTTTTAATTAAGCCATCTGTGCCCACCATTTAGAATGTTTATTTTGCTTTTGGAAGATTTTTAAAAACAAGCAAGGGAAAGGAGTCAAACCAAATCAAAAGAAATCCAGATAAGAGTGCTCACCAAAATTTTAACCAAGGTGTGCAATCAAACAAAATATTAAACTAGGTGCACAGACCAAAAGTGAATTCACCAAAAAACACATGCCTCAGACAAAATGTAAATTAGGTAGAAATCAGAGTGCTCAACCAAGAAAGACATACACATCTTTATACCACAAATGACTTACTAGAACAGAAAAAAAGTATTTTATCACCCCAAGAGGAATGTATGGTCTTTTATTAAGGTAGCCTTATCCAAATCAGATCCTGAATAAAGTCAAGAACTTGTACCAAAAAGAGGGAGGGTTGATCTGAGAGACTCACCAGGGCAGAACAGGTGAGCTGGGAAGGGGAGAGCCTGGAGGGATCATGTGAGTATTGCACACCAGGTCCAAGAATCACCAGCTTCTTCTGATCATGATCTTTTTCACATCCCACTTCTGACATCGTATATGTCAAACTATGTAACAAATAGAGAGAGGCTCTAAAGGAAAATGGTGTTTATTCGGGAATAGGGCATTACAATGGGAATACACGTGCCATGGTAAACTATGTGCATATTCAGGGAGGTAAAGGAAGACAAGATTTTTAAAGGAAAAATGAAGATTATATAATTGTCTTGAAAAATTATCCTTGGCTACAAAGATCAATAGGGTGAAGCCAGGCAGAGGTGTGATAGGCAGTTGCTGGGCAGATGTCCTTGCAGAAGTACTTTTTGTGTATTAATATTTTGTGTAAGGTTGTGATTTTTGCAGAGTCTTTTGTAATAGTTTTTATTGTCAGGCAGAGAGGTGTGATAACCCTCTCTTCTGAACTTTCCCCAGTTCTATTCGTCATTTGTCAGGGATTTTTTTGTTGTCGTTTTTTGCTTTTTAAATTTTTTTTCTGTTTTTTTTACAGGTGAGGTCTTACTCTGTTGCCAAGGCTGGAGTACAGTGAGTGCGGGGGTGCGATCACAGCTCACTCTAACCTTGAACTCCTGGGCTCAAGCTATCTGCCTGCTCCAACCTCCCAAGTATCAGGAGCTACAGGTATGCACCACCACACTTGGCTAATGTTTTTTACTTTTTGTAGAGATGGGGTCTTGCTATGTTGCCCAGGCTGTTCTTGAACTCCTGGGCTCTAGTGATCCTCCTGCCTCGGCCTCCCAAAGTGCTGAGATTACAGGTATGAGCCACTGCACCTGGCCAAGAATTCTAAATCCAGTGAAATGATTCTTCAAAAAATGAAGGTAAAATAAAAATATTCTCAGATAAAAACAGAGAAAATTTGTTGATAGCAGACCTGTCCTGCAAGAAACACCAAAGGAACTCCTTCAGGCTAAAAGGAAACATATCAGATTCACAGGAAAAAAATGATAGAACTGGAAATGATAACTATATGGATAAGTATAAAAAATGTGTATGTGTGTGTTATCCTTTCGTCTCTTAATTTCTTCAAAACACATAAAATAATTTCAGTAAACACTATGTTGTTGGGTTAACACATATAGATGTAATAAGATATAAAATTAGCAGAAAGTAGGGAGGAGGAAATTTGTTCAACGAAAATGAAGGCATAAAAAAGGAACAAAAAAGACATGAGACACTTTATGAATGTAATTAATGCCACTGAATTGTACAATTAAAATAGTTAAAATGGTAAAGTTTATGTTATATATGTTACCACAATAAAAAATTTTGAAAAGACAAGGAGACAGAAAATAGCAAAATGGCAGATGTAAATCCAACCATATCAATGATTACATTAAATGCAGACAGACAACTCTAAATCAAAAAGTAGAGATTATCAGAGAGAATAAAAGGCAAGATCAAATACATGCTGTCTACAAGACAGACATTTTAGATTCAGAGAAAGCAAATAGGTTGAAAGCAAGAGAATGGAAAAAGACCCAGCATGCAAACAGCCATGAGAGAACTGGGCTGGCCATACTGATAACATAGACATTAGGACAAGGAATATGACCACAGGCAAAAAAGGAACAGTTCATAATGATAAAAGGGTCCATCTATTAGAAAGATGTACCAGTTATAAATGTATATGTACCTAACAACAGAGCCCCAAAACACATGAAGCAAAATCTGACAGAATTGAAAGGAAAAATAGACAATTCAACAATTATTGTTTCAAGACTTTTAATACATTAATTTCTAGAATGAGATAGAAAATCAGCAAGGATCTATAAGACTTAAGACTACTTACAAACTCAACCCAAATGACATACAGAGAATATGCAATTGAATTAATTTTAGCATCTCATCCCCAAACTTGCCAGGCTGAGGTGTGGTCCAATAACCCTGCTTCCACTGAACTTGTTTCAAAGTTAACCAGTGCGCCAGCACACTAATTACACTTCCAGCAGAGAAAAGCCATGTGCCTGATAGGTAATGGTTCATCTGAACATAATTCCTGGCCCACCTGCTCTGCTCCGAGGCAATCTGTGGAGTTAATACCATCTGTCTCCTTCTTCTGACTGGCTACCATCTAGATGCTTTACTTGGGGGAAGTGAGAAAATGTTGACATGTTTTCACAAACATTATCACCTTTAATTCTCACAATAACCCTGCAAAATGGGTCTTACAGATGAGAAAACTAAATCTCAGAGAGGTTAAGTCACTTGCTCAGTGTCGCACAGCTAGGAAAGCAGGGAAGGATTTGAATTTGAATATTTCCAAAGCACAATATCCACTCCCCCTATACCCACTCATTTCTACCTACTTGTTTCCTTGATCTAGCAGAAAAGGAGAGTTAAACTTATTCTGTGTAGGCAGCAAAGCTGATCATGTGAATAGCCAGGAAGCCCCATCCCGAAGAGCCAACTCCTATTGTAGAGAACACGCTACAGGACAGTTCCCACTCTGTTTGCCCCTGACAAGCTGTCCTGCTTTCTCCAACCTAACCTCAACTAGGCACATCCTCCTTGTTGCAAAGCTTGGTCGGTGTTAAGGATACTAAAATTAGGAGGCAAAAGTTTGAGGAGGAACAAGACACCTGCATAGTCTCAAAGCCTGGCCCCACAAAGTATTAATTATCAAGTGACAAATTGTTTTTATACTGCAGAAACCCAGCAGACCCCGTGACCTTAACCATGTGATCAATGTTAACATCATGGTAAGACCCAGCAGTATCATGCTCCCTCTGATATGCTGCACTGAGAAGGGATCAGTGTCATTTCTGTGGGATTCTTGCCAAAAATGCGTAAACTCGTTCTGTTGGGAGAAAACATAAGTCATACTCCAATTGAGGGACATTCGACAAAATACCTGATCACTGCACTTCAAAAGTGTCAAAATCATGAAGACTAGGAAAGCTTGAGGATCCGTCAGACTGGAGCAGAGAAACCTGGCCGCTCAGTGCAGTGAGTCCTGGAGCAGGAAACGGGTGTTAGAGAGGGGGGCACGCCCACAAAGTCTGCATTTAATAGAACAGAACCAACACGACCTTCCTGGTTTTGAGAACTCTACCAAGGTTATGTATGTGTTGATATTAGCATTAGGGGAAGCTGTGTGAAGAGGATACAGGAATTCTCTTTGTAATTTTTCTGTAAGTCTACGTTTCAAAGTAAAAAATTAAGAAAAAGTTGGGCAGACGTTAAAGAGATAGGAAATGCCTAAGTATCTAATTGAGATTTACTCCTTGGTAAAGAATCTTAAGAATTAATTAAGTGGAGGAATTTGGGAAAGATGCTTGTGTAATTGCCGAATAATCTGAACGAATGCTCCAGATTGTTCTTGAAATCTCTAAGTATCTTGAACGTAGATAACAAGAAACTCTTGCCTGCTTTCACACACAGAGGGAAGGCCCAAGATCTGGAATTTGTTCCCCATTTCTCCCACTTGGCATGAAAAGCTACAAAATCACAAAACCCTATTCACTCACAGAGACAGCGGTCTGCCTAGGTCTCCCACTCTTCTGCACTTTGACTGACAGGAGCCAGTCTCAGGTGGGAAAAGCCTGTAACTGTCTAGAAAAACCAGTCAGTAGATGGCCCTGCCCGCCCATTCTGTCAATGAGATTTACTAGGCGCTGGAAATGCAGGTCCTGTGTGCCCGTGGCTGAGTGCGGAGCTGCTCGGCTTACCAGGGGACTCAGCCACCGGCCTGGCAGACACCTGGCAAAGGCTTTGAACACAGGGAGCTATGATCTCAGAGAACACCACGCACTAGAGAAACAGGGGTCTCCACCCAAGACTAGGAGGACTGCGGGTGGTCCTCTCTTTCCCCCAATTCCCCCCAATCTGCACAGGCTGGGGGCTGTCCTTCCACTCCAATTAGAGGACCAAACTGCAAGTCTTACAGTTTTATGGACTTGCCACTGTCACCCAAGTGTGTTTCCAGCCACGATCCTTGCAGACACATTATCACTAAGGGATGAGCCGTTTCCGAAAGTTGAACAAAGTATGAGGCACATGGTTGCAGACACTCAGCGGATGTCTTTGGAATAAATGAATGTTATCTTCTCTCCACCATCAACTCCAAAGACTAACTTTGAGAAGATCGTCCAAGATCACTACAGCAGCATAAACTTTCACACCACAGGGAACTGGCCACTCACTGGTGTTATTTTAAGCATGATATTTCCTGGGACTGAACACAAGTAGATATCAGGTATTAAACCAGTAAAACCATGTAGTCAACAGTTTGTAAAAATATATCTTTATTGTGTTCCAATGTTCTTACATTATACATATACCTAGTTATTTTTATATACTTTTTGTTTATGTTAAATATAAATTAAACAAACACAAAAAACTATAAACAAATCAGCAAAACTGCCAGAAAATCCCTCCAAGCCATGAATCCTTATTAAAAAATGTATGGTGCGGGTGTGGTAGCATATACGCATAGTCCCAGGTGCTTGGGAGACTGAGGGGGAGGATTGCTTCAGCCCTGGAGTTTGAGAGTTCAAGACCAGCCTAGGCAACGTGGCAAGAGCCTATCTCTTAAAAAAAAAAAATAGTGATTTGACCACATAGGAATCTCAAATTTAAAAACCTCCTGAAACCCAGGCACAGTGGCTCCC